CACTGGCACAGGTGCAGTTTCTTTCCCAAGGCCGGGTGGTCTCTTGGGCCCAAGCCCAGGGTCAGCTCTAAATCCTCGAGCAGGGGCTCTTCCAGGCCCAGGGCCTCTGTCTAACCCAAGGTTAGGGGGCCTCCCAGGGCCAGGTCCTATGTCCAACCCAAGGCCAGGTGGTCTTTTGGGAACAGGTCCTGACCCCAGAAGTGGTGGCCCCATGGGCCCTGGATCTGGACCCAACCTGAGAGCAGGTGTCCTGTTGACTTCTGGGAATGGTCCTCCCAATCCTAGGCCCATTGGCCTGGGCCCCGGACCAAGTCCCAATCTGAGATCAGGCTTTGTAGGTACAAACCCTGCCCCGAGGTCAGGTATGTTTCCAGGCCCTGGCCTTGGGCCCAACCCAAGGTCAAGTGGCCTGGGCCCAGGCCTTGGGCCTAACCCAAGGGCAGGTGGCCTGGCTCCAAGCCCTAATTTGGACACCAGAGCAGGTGGCCTCTTGGGCACAGGATCTGGTCTTAACTTAAGAATGGCTGGACCTCAAAGCCTAGATCTTGCACCCATTCTAAGAGCAGCAGGTCTTTTAGGAGCAAATTCAGCTGCTTTCTCACAGTCTTCTGGAAACATGGGCACAAGCCCATCTTCCATGGCCAGAATACCTGGCCCCATAGGCCCAAACTCGGGTCCTGGCTCTCGGGGAATTGGCCTTCCAGGGCCAAATCCATCTCCCATGTCGAGGGCTCCTGGCCCCATTGGCCCTAATTCAGCTCATTTTTCAAGGCCCGCTGGCCCCATGGGAGTAAATGCTAATCCTTTTCCAAGGGGGACAGGTTCAGGGGGATTGAACCCAGCTGCTTTCTCTCAGTCTTCTAACACATTGGCTTCAAACCCAGTTAACTTCCAGAGGTCTGCTGGCCTCCAGGGCTCAAGTCCGGCAATTTTCCCGAGAGTCTCTGGGCCACTAGGCTCCAACCCAGCTAACTTTCCAAGGGCCACTGGTTTACAGGGTCCAAGTCCAGCTACCTTCCCAAGGTCTACTGGCCCATTAGGCCCTGGTCAGGTTACTTTCCCCAGGTCAGCTCCTGGGCCCCTAGGCTCTTCGCCAGCAGGCCCTGTGGGTATCAACCCAGCTCCTTTTGCAAGGCCAGCTGGGACCCTGGGTCTAAACCCAGCTTCCTTTCCAAGGATGAATGGCCCTGTAAGCAAGACTTTGGTCCCATTTCCTAGAGTGGGGAGCCTCCCTGGCACAAACCCAGCTGCTTTCCCCAGACCAGGGGGTCCAATGGCTGCAATGTACCCAAATGGAATGTTACCCCCTTAAACACCATTTTCTCTCCAGGACCACCTTGGTTTCCACGCACTGTGGTTCTGGGCAGGGGCTGTGTTTTAGGTGAAAGGGTAGATATGGAGCTACAGACTGAAGTACATAGCTGGGGCTCAAGTTCAAATGAGCCTTTTTCCCCCCTCTGCGTCTTTCTTGACTGAAGGTGAAATGTTATCTGTGGGACATGGACTTTGGCAGGTGGGAATGATCCCGCCTTGCGAGAAGGAATCTCCAGCCTTCCAGAAGCCTGCTGTGCTTTTGTCCCACAGCTTTCTGCCCCTTGTTTCTTACTGGTTTCTTGAATTGTTCTTGTGGACTTTTCCTCAGGGATACATTGGCCTGCAGGTTCCAATTCATATGCGGTCCCCTGCTCACCACTGGAGAATCAGCTCACTGCTGTCTAGAAATGTTGCGTTGGTGAGCAGACCATGCTTCAGCAGCGCTGACCTGGTCACCCTCTACTGCCATACCTTCCCCTGGGGGCTGGAACACAGAACAGGGAAGTGCAAACACTTCAGAGAGCCACCAAATTTCTTCTGGCCTGACCGGGCCTGCAGCTCCCTTCTCCTGGGACTGACTTAGAGAAGGCCAGGATCAAGGCTGCAGTGCTCATCCCGCTCCCTCTCCACTGGTACTCCCAATCAGAGAACCTCAAAATTAGACTGATGTGGATGGGGTTATGGGAATTGGGGTGGGGGTGGGGGGAATGAAGGGGAGAAATCACTGTGCTTCGTTCAGCCTGATGTGAAAGGATGGTTGGTGTTTTCCTGCATTGTACCTTTTCTTACCGTTTCTTTAATAAATGGGATGAGAGGGCTATTGATTTCACTCCCTTTTTATTACCTGTTCCACAGGGAAGGAAGTTTACCCACTGCTTTTCATTGTTTCAGCTTGGCCACAGTCCTACATTACCTTCCAGATAATGACATTTTCAAGGAGGAAACAAGCTTTGGTTTTTAGCCTTAGCTGGTTAACTAGGGCTCACTCACTGGCTCGTAATTTCACCAAAGACCCCGTCCACTCTGTACAATAAAAAATTAAGCCACCATAGGTGTGCAGTTATCAAGGTAGACCTACTGTATTCCCCAGGTCCAGAGGCAGCTGTGACAACTTACCTGCTTCTGAGTTCCACTGGAATTTCCTTGGCAAAACTAGTTCTTCCTCGAGTACCAATCTTGAAACTGGAATAAAGAGCTATAGCTTTTGTTAAGTACAAAGAGGGAGGGAGGAGCTCAGAGGGACCAGCATTATGTGAGAATCTTTATTTTGACAAATAAGTGCAGTATAAAAAATTTGACCTGAAAGTAAAAAAAAAAAAAAAAAAGTAAAAATAAATATGTTTACAAATTATTGTAGAAATAATACAAAAGAGGATTAAAATTCTCATTGAGGAAAACCCAAAATGTGTCCAATTGTATAAAGGCTCTTCCCTTACAAGAAACGGGAATAAAGCTGAAGACCCAGTTTGGTTTCGCTGCTGAAAAATGTACAAAATAACTTAGAAAAACCAGTTGAGGTCAAACGTTGTGGGCCCACTACTTGTACCTGCCTACTCTTGATCTGGAGAAAGTTGATTGTCACAGAGCAAGGCAGAGCTGATGGTAGGACAGCCAAGAGTTCTCCATCTGGGAGTCCATCCCCTTCAAGTAAAAGCTGAAGAAAAACAAGCCCTTAGTGAAGTCTGAGCTCTGCATTGGCTGACCGGATTTCTTCCATTTTAGTGCTCAAAATAGTTTACTTCTTGGCCAGCAAAAACATGGAAGAGCCTGGAACAACTGCCTTCAGCAAACGCCTGCCGCCTCTTCCCAGCCTTCATGGATTAGGCCTGATGTCAACCAGCAGTCGTCTTCTTACAAACTCAAGGTCTGTGTGATGCAGCAGTGTTCGCTGCAGCTGGAAGACCCCTGAGTTCATGGGAGATGAAGCACCAGGGTTTGCCAGTCTGGCTCAGAGCACACTTTGTTCCTTCGTAGGAAGCACCTGGACACACTAGAGGCTTGCCCCCTCGACTACTGTCCACCTTAGTGCTGGTTCTTAGGGCTCAGCAGGCCCCTCTGAGAGTGGATGTTTGGCGAGTAAGCACGCTTGAGCAAGCAACCTCTTAAGTCAGAGGCTTAGTCAATATCCCAGTTTTCAAACCCAAGAGCTCAGAACAGTCTGTGGATTGCAAATCTGTAGAAAATGGCCTTCCCTCACTCCCCCTCCAAAAAAGAGGGAAATCAAACAGCCTCGAGAGGCGTGAGAGAAGAGAAGAACCTTAGGATTTAGATACCAATTCCATCTCCTAGTTTGGTTTCTGGACAGAAGCAAGCAAATGCAGTAGTGACTATCCACAACTTGGCTGTAAGAATTCCCTGGAGAAGCCACTGAGGAGAATGGACAGTCTCAACGATGACCAGCTTGGATTGAGGGTTCCCTTAGGAAACACTGAAAAGCTTTCCATTAGAGGTGATTGTCAACAACCGTAGCCTGAACGTCATGGGTACTGCTCATCTGCCAAGGAATCTGTCCAGGCAGTTAGTTCCAAGACTGTAGCCAGTGTGGTCAGAGGCTCCTAATAGTTTTTCCCCACGTGCTGAGGGCAGGCTTGCCTGTTGCAGAGGGGCCCGTGAGAGTCCAGGCTCTGTGTCACTCGCCACCTTGAAAAACTTACCCAATGAGGAGGAGGGTGGAACAGGCGACTATCACTGTGAAGTGAAGCGAAGCAAAGCGAAGCGAAGTGAGGAGGCTGTCTTAGACTCGGTCAGAGCTGAATTTGAGAGCGGAATTCAGGAGTATACAGGTTGAAATACCTAAGCCCTCATTTCCTTTCTGAGCATGTTGGGGTTTAATCTTCCTGGTAGATGACAAAAACATTTTACCTCCTCAGCAGAGATCACAGACAAGACAATCTAGATCTGGGCAATTTCCAGGTAGAATACATTCAGCTCAAGGCCTACCATAGAGCCTTGAGCTATGGCCTTTAGCACCACCACCACCGTTTGTTCCTCGTGGCAAACTTTCCTTTTTAACATATATATACACACACTTCACACTTAAAACCAGTCCAGTGCTAACTCCCTGCTAGTCTGGCTCATCCTTGGGATGTTGAGATGTGGAATGCAGTACTTCACATAAGAAAGCACCATTCCTGGACCCTGTTTTCTGATGCCTAAAGATCAGGCTTCTGGGCCTTGTATTTCAGGCACAATTTTATTGCATTGATAACTAGATTGAGGTGGGGACATGTTACTAGTTGGCCCAGATCTCTCAGAAATTCTCCCACCACCTCTGATTTTGTTCAGGTGGGCTAAGAGAACCGCTTCCCACGGGCCCTCCTTGCTTACTCACCCGTCAGAAGCTGCCACTGAATGGAACTTATTGTTTGGTTTAGCACACTTCTGAGTTCCCTCTGGATCTCAGGGGAGGAAGTGGAATCTTGCCCAGAGGCCACTGTGTGCACAGAGGCAAGCAGACAGGCGGCCTGAAAACATACATGCCTCCTCCATCACCCTGAGCTGGACTTGCCTCCTCTAAGCAGAGCGGGCCCAGGCCGTACTACAGTCACCATTCTTTGCACTTCACATTTGTCCTTTGGACCATTAAAAAACTAAAACAGCAGTCCCTCCTCCCTCCCACCCCATCTTCTCCATTCCCCTTCCCTCCCTTACCCATTGCACTTTTCCCGCTCTGCTTGAGGGCTACGTCACACCTCAGCAAAAGCTAAGCTATACTGCTCTGGCTTCTTCCCGCATCGCCGGGCAATGATGGCCAGATACAACATGAGGAGGGCCACCCAGTAGCAGCCGTACAGGATGGCCCCAGAGACAAGGAAGGCTAGCTCCGTCTCACTGAACAGATCCTGGCAGTAAGCTGTGTAGGCCAGCCCCCCAAGGAGGACTGCCACCCAGATGGACACAGGGATGAGGCCAATGAAGTTCACCACAATGGTTTTTCGGCCAGAGGTACCCCAGCCAGACTTATTGATGGTAGCAATGGCAAAGATCTTGGCTGGCAGGAGGCTGGACATATAGAGAAGGGAGTAGAGTGACATGAAGATCATCTCTGCATTGCCCCGAAGGAAGCAGGCGTATGTAGCCTTGATAATGCCCACCAGCTGCACTGTCAGCAGGA